AGGGTTACCACCACTGCCCAGAGGATCATTGGTTGCTCTCTCCCTCTTTGGAAGAACTTTATAGTTCCCGCTGCCTTAAGAAGGCTCAAAACATTCTTAAGGACCCATCCCTTAAGGACATTCTTTTTTTGAACTATTACCATCTGGTAGACGCTACAGGATAATGAAAACAAGGACAAATAGGCTGAAGAATAGCTTTTATCTTAGAGCTGTAACTATACTGAACTCTACTGTATAGTGCAGTATTAATGCAGCACCAGGGGTTGTGCAATGGTGAATGGAATGTGAAGGTTGTGTTTTATGTGTTTTATGTATTTTATGTGTTCTATGGTTTTTATATTTTTAAAGCTGCACTGGAGTGGCATTTAATTTCATTGTATGAGAAGTACAATGACAATAAAGATTACTTTGACTTTGACTTTTAGACTTTCAATTTGCCTTTGACTCTACAGCCAGAAAGATTCTGTGGAATAAGCTCAGGAATATCACCATGGATAAATGTCTTCTTTATCTGATCTAAAATTTATATGTTAATTCCTGCCTGAGAGTTAGATTTAATAACGAGGGGTTGCTTTCAGAAGTGATACTCATACAGAGGTGTCAGGGATGTATTTTGGCCCCTACCTTGTTAATTGTTCCTTAACTCTATGACTAAGACAGTGAACAACTCAGATTGTCACTCTCCCAAAATAATGCAAGATCCCAATAGTCCTATATGTAGATGATGTAGGTCTTATCTCTTGCTCTCCTATACAGCTTAGAAGGGCAATGAGCTCTGTAGTTCAGTACTGCAAACTGAACAGGCTGGTACTTAACTTCCAGAAATCTAAAGTCATGGTATTTGCTAAAAGGGCCAAAGTCCAAAGATGGAACATAGAGTGGAATCCAACTTAGCCTAACTAAATATCTAGGAGTGATTTTCCATCCCACAGGAATTTGGAGGGTTCACCACAACTTTTGTCTCCCAGTTGGCATCAAGATTTGCAACAGCCATCAAAACACTTTTTTACTAATGGAAGTGAATTAGTATCAGCTGCTTTAAAACTCTTCTAAGCTAAAACTTTGTCCCGAGTGTAGTATGGCACTTATTTATATATTTATAAGGGTATTTATATAAGGAAGAATCTTCCTGAGGCAGTTCAAACCAAATTTCTGAGCTATATACTTACTACACCCAGAGGGGTTTCTAATGGCCTTCTTAAATTATAAACTGCCTAAAATTGCGATCAGGACATGGAGGTTTATGTTAACCTGGAGGTAAAGCTCCAGTTCTTCACTTAAGTTTGATCCCATTAATACTGGCAGATAACTTTCCATTAAGCTGGAACAATGTCATAGAACAAAAATTAATGTCACGTCAGTCGTAGATATAATCCCTGGGATACAACCATGCCAAACATATATTTCTGTAGAGACTAAACAGTATTGAGTTCCAGATGGAAGCAAACAGTTTAGCATAGGGAAGCACAACCTGGGTCACAAAGGGTTTCTGGAACAAGGCCAGCTATCTCTTCTCATTTACATTTCTCAAGTGAGGAGAGCTCACACTTTTGACTGTATTTGAACCAATTACCAAACATGCCAATGAAACTTTATAAATGTATTTATAAATACAATAGAAATTCATCCCCCTTTATCCCAGTATAGAATCTGCTTGTTTTTAGAAAGCCATAATAAAAGCTCTGTGGTAACAATGGGATAGTTATGTAACAATGAGACATTTAACAATTAGCCAGGCTTACAAATCCAATAAAAAATAAATCAAGCAGCAAGTACTATAAGCACAACAATTCTTTATCAGAAATGAAAATCTTATCTGCATCTTCAACATTCAATTGAAAAGTTGCATCAGAATAAAGCATTGTGATTTTTAAATGAAGTTGTCACAAGACTTACATGAATGGTACTAAAAATCTTACCTGTCTGAAACACAAGTTCTTTCCCTCCTACTCCAGCAGCCTCCAGATTAATAAACGCTCTAACCGATTTAGCCCATGGGTGTTGGGTAATGAAGCCATGACTAGCCTGGATAAAAAGTAAAGATAATAGACAGAAAACTTATAATATATTTGAACTATCTTCTGATTACACAAAGGAGATTCTAGTTCTGGAAAAATGTTCTATTGCTCTCTTTCCTTTCTTACTTAATTAGTTAAAAGTTTATTATGGTACAGACCAGCATCATAAAACTAATAAACACATATAAAATTTTATATATATACAACATGAAACGTAAAAAGAGTAAATAATATAAAAATTCACTAATAAATGCTAAACAGGCCAGCTTTTTCATAATGTTGGAAGTGTGTGTGTATTTGAAGGGTTGAGTAATCTAAATGATTAGTCTCTGCAGGCAATAGCAATTTACATAAAATTTAACAGTTTATAAGCTTTCCAGGTGCTCTGATCTTCTTTCATAAGAACAGCTCGCTAAAACAGTTTTCTTAACTCAAACAAGCCAATGCAATTTTAAAAAATGCACTGTTACTCCCTGGGCATTGAAGAAAAAACTATTATTTTATTAATTGCAACACAACGTTTCCATAAAACACACACACACACACATACACACAACCAAAAACAGAGTAAGAACTAAATTCAGTCTCATTGCCATGATGGGAAAGTGGAATAAGACTTTATGAATAGCTACAGGTAGTCCTCAACTTACGACCATACATTTAGTGATTGTTCGAAGTTACAAAGGGGCTGAAAAAAGTGACTAATGACTGGTCCTTGGACTTATGATGATCGCAGCATCCCCTGTGGTCATGTGATCAAAATTTGGGTGCTTGGCAACCAGCATGTATTTATGACAGTCGCAACATCCAGTTGCCATGATGGGAAAGGAAAGAAAAAAAAATCTTACTTTTATTCAAGTATTTGTCAAATATTTCAGTTTTACACACCTTCATAGCAATTCGGTTTCATTTTAATGAACATCAAAGGACAAAGCAGCATCAACTTATAATAAAAATAAACTCTTTGGGTCTCAGTCCAAGTGTTCACTCATATTAAAATATTAAGGATCTACTGACTGCTTTCTTACCTGTAAGACATTTTCTTCTGCTCCATTAAACAGGAATATAACAGAATGCTGCAAAGGTTCAGATGATTTTGAAAGTGTGTACAGTATTTCAAGCATTATAGAACAGCTGACAGCATCATCACTAGCACCTTAAAATAATGAGATAATTAGCACAATAAGTTCTTATGGTTGAAACATAATTATAAATATTTTAAATATCATATTATAGAAATAACTTCCTCTCTCAAACAAAAATTGTTCAGAAAAAAAGTAGGTTGTCAAAAATATTATTCAATCCTTGGTTCCCAAATATATTTATCAAAATATATATGGGAGCCAAGGTGGTATGATTGCTCAGAATTTATTGTTAAAATTTTACAGCAAAATTTCATTTCTAGTCACAATACAGATGTGAAAAAGTTAGTGGAAAAAGACTTTATGAATAGCTACAGGTAGTCCTCAACTTACGACCATACATTTAGTGACTGTTCGAAGTTACAATGGGGCTGAAAAAAGTGACTAATGCACTTTTGACCTTGCACTTATGACCATCGTAGCATCCCCGTGGTCACGTGATCAAAATTCAGGTGCTTGGCAACCGGCATGTATTTACAACAGTTGCAACATCCAGGGGGTCACATGATCACCATTTACAACCTTCCCAGGGGGCTTCCAACAAGCAAAGTCAATGGGGGAAATTTGCTTAATGAACACAGCAAAAAGGTTGTAAAATCGGGTGTGACTCACTTAACAACCACATCATTTAGTAATGCAAATTCCAGTTCCAACTGTGGTGGTAAGTTGAGGACTACCTGCATAAAGCATTAACCATTTCCTGTTTAGGAAATCTACCTTCCAGAAATGGATGAACTCTCTCCAGAGTCCCTGGATTGATGGGTTTCAGGAAAAAACAGAACATTTCAGAAAACAATAAAATGATATGGGAATAGACCTGCGGTTATTCATAACAAGTTGACATTTTTATATACCCTTCTGTACATATTCTCCACAAAATATAAGCCATTTAATATAAAAAAGTAAAATAAGTGAACTCCTTTTACTGTACATTACAAACAGGAACCGTATTGAATCAACCTCTGCCTCATTACCTACTTTCAGTTTGATGGACAAATATACCAACAAATCAGAAGAACACTCATGGGATCCCCCCTCCCATAACATATAGCAGAGATGATAATGCAGCATCTAGCAACTATAGCACTCCCAAAGATACAACCAAAAGTATGGATCCAGTATGTAGAGGACACCTTTGTCATAATAAAAAAAGAAAAACTAGAGAAGACACATGAATCAATCAACAACATCTTCAAAGGAATAAAATTCAGAAGAAAGCAACGACACACTACCCTTCCTGGATATCCTCATCAGCAGAGGAAACGATGGCAAATTAGAAATACAAGTCTATCAAAAAAACAACCCACACCAACCAAGTACTCCATTACCAAAGTAACAACCCAACCTCCCACAAGAGGCTGTGTAAGAACATTATTCAGACAAGTACAAACACATTGCAGCAACCCAGAAGACCAGAAAAAGGAAACAGACCACCTATACAACATCTCCCAACAAAATGGCTACCCACGCAACTTTATCAAAAACTGCCTGACTACTCAACCCACTATAGTACAACCAACACAAGCTATGAAAAGGATAACGCTACCATACATCAAAAAATCTCAGAAACAACCAACCTACTATTACAACTACATGGCATCACCATAGCGCACAAACCAACTAGAGCCCTTCAAACAGTCTTAAGTAAACCAAAGACCCAGTGGCCCAAGAAGAAAGAACAGGAGTCATCAACAACATACAGTGTAAGGCGTGTAACAGCCACTATGTAGGATAGATGGACAGAAGACTAGCAGAGTGCATCCATGAACACCAACTAACAGTCAGAAGACACAATGAAAATTCCTTAATCTCACAACACATGGAT